GCCTGGTGGCTCATGAACAAAGTAGCCATGGTGGCAGGGATGGAGGTTATGCATGGGCTCAGCAACAAGGACTTCCACTCACCCAGGATGACCTAGCTATGGCCAGCACTGAGTGCCCAGTCTTCTAGGTCAGAGACCAACACTGGGCCCCTGATAAGGCATCATTCCCCTAGGGTGATCAGCCAGCTACCTGGTGCAGGCTGATTACATTGGACCAGTTCTGTATGGTAGAGGCAGCATTTTGTTCTTTTTGGAATAGGCACTTACTCTGGACACAGATTTGCCTTCCCCATACACAATGCTTCTGCCAAAACTACCATTCATGAACTCACAGAATTCCTTGTACTCCATCATGGTATTCCACACAGCATTGCTTCTAATCAAGGGACTCTATTCATAGCAAATGAAATGTAGCAATACCACCATTCTCATGGAATCCACCAGTCTTACCATCCTGAAGTAGAGGGCTTGATAGAAAAGTGGAATGGCCTTTTGGAAACTCACTTACAGCACCAACTAGGTGGCAGTACTTTGCAGGGCTGCAGTAATGTACTCCAGTATATGCTCTGAGTCTGTGTCCAATATGTGTTGCTGTTTCTCCCATTCCCAGGATTCTTGGGTCCAGGAATCAAGGAGTGAAAATGGGAGTGACACCACTCTCTATACCTATACACTAAAAAAATTTCTGCTTCCCGTCTACATGATATTATGCTCTACTGACTTAGAGGTCTTAGTTCCAAAGAGAAGAATGCTTCCACCGGGAGACACAATAATGATTCCATTGACACTTCAAGATTCCTCACTCTCAAGCTACCCACAAAGTGCAGAACCTTGGAGAGCACCAATCTCAGCTTCTTCCTCCTTCCCTCACAGAGGCCAGGGGTCAGAACAAATGAGAGGCTAGTGAGGCCCAGAGAGTGTGAGGGAGCAGCAAGCACAGAAGCAGATGCCTGGAATGGGAGCCAGTGAGGCTACTGGCTGAGGCTGTCCACAGGGGCCCAGGGAGAAGGTGGTACAAGAAAGAAACCCCAGGAATGGAGAGACATGAAGAGAAACAAACAGGCACCATGAGGGTCGAGCTTGGCTGCTGTGTGGGACTGTGTGTGTGAAGCCATCTCAGGACCAGGCCTTCTCCATTCACAGCTGATATTGACAGAGATTGCCAACAACAATCCCGGATCAATGTGGACTTAACAGTTAAGAGTTAAGCCATGGGCACAGGGCGCACATTAGGCACAGGTCCTAATAAACAGGAGAGGAAGCAGCTCCCATCTCACTTGACCCAGGGACACAGAGGGGTGTGTGGTGCTGTGTGTTCCCAGAATCAGAGTTCTTATTTGGGCACCAGGCCCTGGGAGTGAGAGGGGAAGCTGACTCGGCCATCCTTCCCTTTCAACTCCCCTGACACAGACCTTCCCCTCCTGACAAGCCTGGTTCCCTGTTCCTCCTTCTCCCCATAGAACCAACAGCCAGTCCTCCAACCAAAACTATCACTCCACCAAGGGGCATGCATCGTGTAACTTATGGAGACAAACACAAACTGATACACATTCCTAGGAATCTGAGTTTGGTGACACGCACTGTAGGAAGAGGCAAGGCCAATGAACTTACAGCAACAGACTGGGACTCAACAGAAAGGGAATATGATGGAGTATTAACATGACATGTGACCCATATAAAATGTCTATGGATTGATGTTGAATAAACACACAGAGCTGCATGGCAGGGGGCCTCTGGTTTCTACACGTCCCTCTTCATCCAGCAGAGGGAGGGAGAGCTACTCAGAAGCCTGAAGCTTCCCCAGGGGGCTGCTGATCGCCTTCAGCATCACCCACAGCCCAGCAGGATCTGTCCCTCACCAGCCTCACTCAGTCCACCGTCCTCCTCACGCTCCAAGCTCCACACACTGGACTCTGTCAGCCCCTCCCTCCAGCCGGGCATCTGTCCTCCTAAAGGCTCGTCCCTCTGTAGGCAGCTCTTCTCTCCACACCCTTCATCCTTCATGGGTTGAACATCCACTCACACTTCAGATCTCAGCCAAAAGGTCACTTTCTCAGGGCTGCTCTCAGTCATCCCCAGACCACCTGAGACTCCATTACATGCTCTGGATGCACCAGACATTGTCCCTTTGCAGCTCTTCTCTCGATTACAATTAACTCCTTAATTCATGATTTTCTCTGAGTACCTCTCTCCCCATCACAAGGTAAACTCTGATCCCGGGACCCACAAGTGCCCTGTTCTCTGTGGAGTTCCCAGGGCCCAGACCAAGGCCTGACACATCACAAATGCTCAGAAAATACTCATTAAATAGATGAAGGAAACAACACAACAAAAACTTGCCATCCTCGTGTGACACCTCGGGGTCAGAGCACATTCTGTGTAGACACAGTCAGACAGGCATCAGCATGGGAGAAGAGCAGCAGGGCTGTCTCAAGGATGGGCCTTTCCCCTTGTAAAGTCAGAAGGACAGGGGCCTCCTAACAGGGAAGGGTCAAATCCCTATTCACTTCCAGAAAATCACATCCCCTCCCCATCTCCACCTCGTGAGTGACTTCTCTCCCAGGAGAGCCTGAGTCAGTGGCCTGCGTGTTTCCTCTTCTCACAGGGACTTGACATGGAACAAACTCTGACTTCTCAATATCAGGTAGACTTACCACAAGGAGAGAAGGAAGCACCACCCGAATTTCAAAAGAATCAGGGGATGACTCCCCATCTCCAGAATCCCTAGTCTGTAGGGACACCTTGTTGTGGTCCCATGAAGGCATCTCACCAGCTCAAGGTAACCCGGGCAATGAGAGGAACTTCCCGTCCAGAACAGAACAGGAGAACCAGGATCTGAATTTGCTTGCCTCACAGAGGGATGGAGGGTCCCATGGGGTCCACCCTCCTCCTAACAGAGGACTCCACAGGATCCCCTGTCTGAGTCTCCAGGTGGAGCTGCTCCAGCTCCTGGGCCTTGTGGGGAGGCCCAGAGCAGATGACACACAGGGACACAGTTGACTAGATGCAACACCCCAGCGCTGTGATGGAAGAAACGGGACATTCTGGGGTCCAGCCTCCAGGCCAGTGTCCTCCTCCAAAAGCTTCAAGACACATCCCTCCAAGCCCACTCTTTAAATCTCAGGAACAGAGAGCTCATCCTGAGATAGTACATCCCCCGGGGAACAGTTCTTCTGACACTACATCAGGAAACCTGTTGACCAAACCTGTCTTCTCCCTGGGCTTACCCTGCACTGAGATGGAGTCAGGCAGCCTTGGATCCCCAAAGCACAGGACCCAAACTTACCAGCCTTTCAGCCTACAGTCAGAGCCCACCTCTGTCCTAGGGCTCAGATCAGCTCATACCCTCTTGAGCCTGGTCAGCATCCCTGGAGCAGCCCATGACATTGGACACAGGTCTCCTTATGCCCTCCAGGGGGCAACCTTGGGACACAGAAACAACACACAGGAAATAAACACATGAACATGGCTTTGGCTGAGGGAGCGGAGAAGGAGCCTGATTTCATCCCTCCCTTTAACAGACATTTCTGGGCCCCTCAGACATGTCTGCTCTGTCCGGCCCACTCCTACTAGGGTCCTCCGAGTACCCTGCCCTGTCAGGAGCCCCTGTGCAGGTCCCCACTCCCTGCCTGGCACCACCCATGGGGAAGGCAGGTGAGCACAGGAAAGTCCACCAGGCAAAGGACAGAGGCCCCCAGGATGGTCAGGGAGCACATGGACAGAATCTGAGCAACAGCTCAGCCAACAGACTTGGAGAGGGGGTAGTCTCCCTGAAGCCTTTCCCAAGGACCAAGGATCCCACAGTCACCTGACCTCCCACCACCACCACCCTCTCACCCGGGACATGCAGGAAACCTCCCCCTTCAGACTCGAGAATCGCAGCTCCTGAGACACCAGGTACTGGTTGTCTGTCCTGGAATCAGAGGCCAGGCTGGTGACACCAGAGATAGAGAGAACGTCCTCTCTGTCTCTGGTGTCACCTCACCAGTCATCACTCAGCTTGCCCCTTTCTCACCCCTAGTCATCTCCGTGACCATCCCGTTGGGAGTAAATCCAACCTTCCCAGAGCATCTGAGGACACTGGGAAGACCCTGGTGCCCAGTTCAGTTTCTCTGTCAAAAGAGATAATCCTCTGGGTTTGGAAACCTCTGGGTCTCTGTGGGGTGCTGACAGACACCAAATGCAGGGCACAGCCAGGCCAATGCTGGGGCCAGGCGGGTTGTTCTCTCAGGACACAGGGGTCCCCATCAGCCTTGCTATTGAAAGTGTGCTCCAAAAGCCAATGTGATCAGCATCACCTGAGAGCTTGTTAGACGCAGACTCTTGAATCCACCCCACACCTGCTGGGTCAGAATCTGCATTTTAACAGAATCTCCTGACTCTGAACAGGAAAATGGGAGAGGCTGTCCCATCCCCACAAAATGGGGTCTCAGCCTTCCTGGGTAGCCACAAACCTGGGCAGCTGCTAAAGTAGCATTTCTTTTGTCACCTGGGCATTCACAGTGTTTACAAAGTTCCACAGGTGATTCTGACACAGAGCAGGGGTGACATCCTTGCAACAAGAGTTCCTGATGTAGCCCAAGAACTCCTGCTGTGAAGGGCTAAGTCAAATGTGAGAGAAAGGGCTGCAGTGGAGACTGACTATGCACCCTGAGCCAGAGTTGTGGGACTGCCTGTGACACCAATACCCAGGTTTGTGTTTGTCCAAACAAGGGTGTGTGTGTGTGTGTGTGTGCTTGTGTGTGTGTGAGTGCACATATGGGAGGAATCACAGCTAAAAGAAGGAGAGGCCTCCACAGTTCCCAGGAGACTAAAATGTAGAAGGAGGAGACTAGGGAGGCTGGAATGAAAGGAGGAGAGGGAGGGACCCAGGCAGAGACAACACCCCCAGTGAATGTGACCCGCTAGGCACCCCTGCCCCTGGAGGAGGCTCAGCACAGAGGGAGGAAGGACAGCAAAGCTGAAGCATCTGGACAGGAGTGCTTGTGAGAGTTTCTGGAGCCCAAGCTCTTCTCACAGAGGGAGGGACAGAGCAGGCAGCAGACACCATGGAGCACCCGTCATCCCCTGCCCACAGAGGGCACTTTCCCTGGCAGGGGCTTCTGCTGGCAGGTAAGAGGGGATGATTCCCTGGTGTGGGTGGGAGGATGGGAGAATAAAGACTGGCTCGGGTCTCCTGGGGAGGACGAGGCTCTGAGAAGAGACAGAGGACATCTGTTTGGACCTGAGGAGAGAGAACATAGGAGCTGAGTAGGATGACTGGAGAGGGCTCAGCAACAGGAAAATCTTAGTGAACTGGAATCGGTGAGGGGCAGGAAAACCTCAGTTGCTGTATTTTTTTCAAGTTACATTTTGAAAATAAGATAACTATATCAGAGTGACACTTCCTTAAAAAACATAACCAGGGGCACTAAACATTGTCCTCACTAATAAACCTCAGAAATTAACAAATGAACACCACAACACGGAGGGCCCTGGGAACACTCATTCATTCATCCACAGGTGTTTGCAGTCTGTTCCAGGCACTGGGGGAACAACAAGATCAGACAAGTCCCTGCCCTCAGGAACTCACATTCTGTGGGGATGAGGGGAGAGAAGCAAAGAGATCTAGAATGTGATGTCAGGGACTAACAAGTGTCACACAGGGAACAGAGCAGGGAAAGGTCAGAAAGTGAAGACAGGGGGTCTTTCAGTAGGTGGTAGGGAAGGCATCTCCCAAGGATGCCCCTGAGAGTGAGCAGGGCACTGAGGGAAGGGAGGGAGGGATCTAGGCAGACACCTGGGGGAAGACTAATGGGAACAGAGGAAATAAGTTCAGAGGGGCTGAAGTAACGGTGGTGATGCTGGTGACCTTGACCAGTGGGAGACACAAACAGGCACACACTCCAAGTCTAAGAGGTGAAGAGACCTGCTCAAGACCCACGGACACATCTTTCCATTCCAATACATAGGTCCAAATATTAATTGATCTCTCTTCCCTCCCAGTCTCACTATTAACCTTCTGGAACCCACCCACCACTGCCCAACTCACTATTGAATCGGTGCCGACAGATGCTCTTGAAGGAACGGATGTTCTTCTACTTGTCCACAATCTGCCTGAGAATCTTTTAGGCTATGTCTGGCTGAAAGGGGAAGGAATAGATCCTGATCAACAAATTGTAATATATGTGATAGAAACACAAGAAAATACCCCATGGCTTCTATATAGTGGTCGAGAGACAACATACCACAATGGATCTCTGCTGTTCCAGAACGTCACCCGGAATGACACAGGATACTACACCCTACAAGCCATAGACCAAGATTTTAACAATGCAGTGGGAACTGTACAGCTCCGCGTATACCGTGAGTGATTCCTCTCTGACCTCTGGGTGTTGGGTGGGGTGAATTCTACTTCACATACACAGTATTGGCAGGCCTGGACTGTGCCTACATCCCCCTCTGCATTATGTCTCATGTTGGGGTTTGAGCATTTAGTGCAGGACATACACAGTGGAGATGAACCTCAAAAGATCAGAATACCCTTCCCAGAATGCAGCCCTTGCAGTCATTCCCTGCAAAGAGAAGGACCAGTCTGATGGGAGTAACTTAGCAGAGGGAGACCAGTCTCAGTCCAGTCCCATGGGCTCCTCCCCATGAACATGACCCTGAGTAAGACCCTGCACAGCTCAGTCTGCGCCTAGCCTGATGGGCCCCCTGGGATTCTCATAGAGAACTCAGCCCTGTGAAGCCTCTGCTCAGAACACTGTCCCAGGGCTCCTGACTCCAGTGACCCCGGGGAGCCTGTGCTAGGGTTAGATTTTGGCCTCCTGGGAAGGGATGACTGGGAGCAATGATTTCCTGGCTGCCCAAGTCGCAAGACTCCTGAGCTGGTCACCAGCCAGGGCTCCGCCCTAAGAGCCACATCTGGGCAGGGGCAGAGCCTGATCCTTCACCTGAGACTCAGCATGGAAAGTACAGATGGATAAGGTCCCGAGGCCATTAACCAACTTCCCTCGAGATACAGGGCCCTCTAGAAGATGGTCACCACCCCCAGGAAGGAAGAGAGGATTGAAGATGCTCCTGGCAGCTTCTCATCCACCACGGATCAAGCCCAAGGAGCTCTCTCTCTTGAATGCCATTTATTTGGGGAGTTCATACATACTAAACTTTAGGTCAGGTATTTGGGGATGTTTTAAGGTTAGTTCACAGACAACATGGTAATCCAGAGATCATTTACCTGATTTTATTCAGGGGAAATTGAAGCACAGCGAGATACAGTCATTGAATCAGGGTCACACAGACCATCAGAGTCACAGCAAGATCTTTGCGCAGCCACAGCCTCGACCTCTCTACCACCCCAGGGACCTTATTAGGCATCTATGGACCCTAAGATCAGCTGTTGGATCAGATCTTCTCTTCTTAGGGATCCACAGCTCAAGGTAGATTTTATGATCTGGAGAGTGACAGGAAATGGAGATTTAACCTGTTTTTAACCCAAGGACTAAATTACCTGCATCAACAATCAAAATCGGTGCCAGGAATGTTCAGGCCTCCCCCTCAGGTGGCCAATCCAACCTCCCTGCACAGGACTTGAAATCCCATATTTGTTTCCTGATGTGTCAGCGTCCCTCCCACTGGAGCATAAAGGAAAGGACTTTGCTGTCTCACTCCCCACTCTACACCTGCAACCAACACAGGTCCCAACCACTTAATTGCTCTTTCATGAAGGAGGGAAGGAGTGAATGGTCAAGGAATGAATGAATGATCCATTGTCTCTTCATAAACTGGAATCTGGAAGCAGAACACTAGGAGGTTATGACCACACTTGTTCCCTGTCTCTCCAGGGGCTGAGATCCATGTTCCAACCCTCTGACCACCAGCCCCTAAGCCCACTCTGAGAGGAGAGTTACATGACTGTGGGACTTCTCAACCATGGTAGGGTTTTCAAGGCCGTTCTAGTCCTGCCCCTGGGGAAGCCGTGGACTTCGGGTGCCTGGGGTCTTTGAAGGCACTTGTAACCCATTGCTCACAGACTTAGACATTTCCGGCTCTCTCTCTGCTCCTTCCATGTCCCTCATCTTCCTCTCCCTTCATTCCAGCTGGGACTGCTCCTGCTCTGCACAACTTCCTGCACTCTTTAGTCCTCCCCAGATTCTCCCGCTAATACCTGTGGTCAGGCGCACCCTCTGAGGCAATAGTAAAGAACACAGAAATCAGTGGGAAGGCAGCCCCTTGAAGCTCCATCATGAGCCAACTCCTCAGATCACCAGGAGAACAAGTTTCCACTGAGCCCCCATCCAGGGCTCTTTCCTTACATGATGTCAAGTGGAACACACCACATAACAGGGTCGTGTGACCCCTCGATCTACTCTTTACATGACTCAACCAGGGAGTCAAAGGCAGAAGGACAGGTCTGCAGTTCCCAAAAACTCATAAGCTCATTTCACCCTTTGACTCCTGACTCACATCCTCATCCTGGTAAGGATCCTGTTCCTCCAGTGGTTCCTGAGAGCTTCCCAAGGTGGGGCTGGCCAGACCTTGCACCATCTGACTGGTTTACTCCCCATTTGACACACATAGGTCCTCATGATGACACCTTTACCATAGGGTGGGATGCTCTTAGACGGTGAGATCCACCAGCCACTGTCCTTTCACTTAGATGCTGCCCAATTTGGATGAATTTGATCATCATGTTTCCTGAGGTTGAAAGAAAGCCACATGCAAGCATTGGAGCGTCTTCCCATTTTGCCTGACTGTCCATATAAATGGATGACGGGGACCTCTTTCCTAAATTTACTAACATAACACATATCATTTCAACTAATTTGCTAACATTCCTTGCTTTATATAACATTGACTTGTCAGACCTGCCCCCAATCAATTCTGTCCTCATAACAAGACTTGCCAGGCTCTCTCTATCCAGGGAGCCACTGATTGATTTCTAATCCACTTTAGCATCTTCCTTTGATCAAAATGTGATCCTGGTTGGACTCCAGAACTTGTTCTATGATCTTTAGTGCTCTCTAGAGATATTCCTCCAGAAACTGGTCTTAGGGGCACTAATATTAATTTTCAATATAAAAACAGTTTTACTTCTAAGATTTCTGTCCCATAACTGCATTTACAAGTGGTCTATGAGGACTAGATTCCCCTCCACTCACTTTCTACTAGTCATATCTTCTGCATTTGAAATCTACTTGTATTTCAGGAAAGATCAATATGGTCCTCACTGCCCTCTGCTATGGGAGAAAAGACTTTAAAGACCAAGGGCAGAGCAGATGGCTCTGCTGCCAAAGCCAGCCAGCTCCTGTCTGTCCCCATCACTCTTTTCTGGATCATTTCTAGTCTTAACTCTGCTCTACCCTTTATGGAGTCACTGTCTCATGCCAGTCACCATGGAACACCCAGGCAGGCCTGCCCTACTTCATGGCCCTGCAGACTGAGCGCTGAGCTGACCTCCAGGTCGCAGGTTGGCTGAGAGGTGAGAGATGCCAACTCTGAATTAAGGAGGCTGTAGAGGACTCAAAGGTGCCACACAGGGTAATATTCTCTCTGTTATCTGTGCAGCGGAGTTAACCAAACCCAACATCACGTGCAACAACTCCAACCCTGTGGAGCACAAGGACCCTGTAGTGTTAACATGTGAACCTGAGACTCAGAACACCACTTACCTGTGGTCGATCAACAATCAGAGCCTCCTGGATAGGACCTGGCTGAAGCTGTCTCCAGACAACAGGACTCTCACTTTACTCCATGTCACAATAAATGACACAGGACCCTATGAGTGTGAAACCTGGAACCCAGTGAGTGCCTGTCGCAGTGACCCATTCTACCTCAATGTTCTCTGTGAGTAACTTATGTCCCTTCCTGACCCAGGCTGTCTGCCCAAATCCACACTGCCAGAGGCCAAGCTACACCTGTCCCTCTCAGGTTCAAGTAAACAGACTCTCACCCCTGGATACCAAGCTGGCCATGTATGAGGCAAATCTGGGAATGCCCAACCGTGAGCCAAGACTAGGAAGGGTGGGAGAAACAGGTTAATGTCTCAGACTCAGGATGAGTGAACACAGAGGGGTTATGGTTGGGAGTTTTTAAAACAAGGTGGTGACCTGGCTCAGAAGGATACTGTGGCACTTGTTCAGACCAGGAGCTTGCCCTTCCCTCTGATTACATCACATGCGGCTTTATTCTCTTTGCTACAAATGGTCCAGATGCCCAGACCATTTTGCCCTCAGACTCTTATTACCATCCAGGGGCAAACTTCAGTCTCTCTTACCATACACCTCTAACCTGCCCACACAGTATTCTTGGCTTATTGATGAGATGCTCCAGCAATCCACACAGGAGCTCTTTATCCCCAACATCACTGCAAATGACAGTGGATCCTACACCTGCCTCGTCCATAACTCTGTCACTAGTCTCAATAAGACCACAGTCAAGACTATCACAGTCTCTGTTAAGTGACTCCCTGGCCCATCAGCACCAGGCTCTGGGGTGGAATTCTGTCTGGTGTCCAGAAAAGAGCCCCCAGGAAGTTATTTCTCACCCTGTATCCATGGACACAAGCAAATCCCAAATCTCTCCCTGAACCCTCCCACTTCATCTCTGCAGACCCTTCTTTGCCATCCTCTGATTTCCCAGGGCAGATGTGTGTCTAGCCTGGAATGTGGGGAGAGGGTTCTCTCAGCCCCAGAAAGCCCCACATAGTGGAGGTGGCTTCACAGAGGGAGAAAGAAAAAGGCCCTCCTGCTCTTGGCTCGCCTTATGACTGGCTCTGCTCTGATGCCATCTGTGGTGGGACAGGGCCATGTAGAGGAGGTACATGGGGGGTCTCTCACCAAACTGGCCAAATTGTGCCACCCATTGATACCAGATCCTTTCTCAGGCCAGGATGCAGACAAATGGGAAAAGAGAGAGCCTCAGTGAAGACTCCTCTGAGCTGTGTCCTCGCTCTGAGGTCAACAGCTGTATGACACTATATGACACCAACACTTACATATACCAAAGGAGAACAGTGAATGATGGTGCACACTTGGAAAAATAGGTTGGTTCTTCCATGAAGTCCTTTCATGGGATGGAAGGAGCAGAGCCAAAAAGTTTATAGTTTATACAGAGAGCTAAGAGTACCACCTTTTTTGTTAAAACTGTGACCACTTCTTTCTAGAGATTTCCTTCTCTCTGATATTTAATCCACAGGCCAGGAGCTAAAAGTTCTATTCAGGCAGTGAAATCCTTTAGAATGGAACTTCTCCAGGTCCTAAGGTCATGAGGACTGGCTGGGCCATGCTCCTTATCTAATAAATTATTTAACAAAAAAATGCCTTCACTTCTCTATTTAAAGTTACCATACTAAAGAGCAAGCCTGATCACTCATAAAGTCACAGAACTATCTAGCAAAGGGTCACAAAAAAACCAACAGGAGAAAAATTCCACCTGCTGATGAGGAGGCTGGATACGTGGGCTGAGAAGAGGTTCCTGGTGCTGATACTTTGGAGACGTCCACGGGAAACAAGCTAGGGTCATCCTGGGGTGATCTGGGGGTCAGAGAGGAGGGGCAGCCCTCTCCCATCAGGAGGGAGGATGCCAGGGATTACCAGTGTGAGGTGTCCAACTTGGTCAGTTCCAGAAAAAGGAACATCCTCAGACAATGTGAAATGTAAGTGACCACTTGCCCCATCCTGCATCTTCCTGGCAAGATGACTCCACCAATGTTGTGCGAAATGGATAGAAGTCACAGGGGGCAGAATATCAATCAAGAGACCATTGCAGTAAACAAAACAGCAAAGTAGTTAAGAGCTCAGTCTCTGAATCAAATATACTAAGTTTCTTATCATGGGTCTGGCATGTACTGTGTGACATTTCACCTGATTCTTTTTTTTTCTGTTACCATTTTTTCATGGTAAAATATTTTGTGGTAAAATATTCACATGATTTACCATTTTAACCATCTTTAAGTGTACAGCTCAGTGGCATTAAATACATTCATATTGTTGTGAATGTATAGCATTACCACTATCCATGTAGAAATTTTCCATCTTACTGTAGTAAAACTCTGTACCCTTTAAACAATAACTCCCCACTTCCCCACCTCAATTCCTAGCAACCATCATTCTACTTTCTGTCTCCATGAATTTGACTATTCTTGGTACTTTGTATAAGTGGAATCATACAGTATTTGTCCTTTCACGTCTGGCTTATGTGACTTAATGTCGTCAATGTCTCATCCATGTTGTAGCATATATCAGAATTTTATCCCTTTTTAAGGCTGAAAAATATTCCCTTGCATGTACATGTCACATTTTGTTCATCATTCATCCATCTGTGAACTTCTGGTTTGTTTCCACCCTTTGGTTTTTGTCAATAATGCTGCTGTGTCCATGAGTGTACAAATATCTGTTCAAATCTCTACTTTCAGTTCGTTTGTATATATACCAGATGTGGAATTGCTGGATCACGTGGCAATTCTTTGTTCACTCTTTGGATGAACTGCCATACCATTTTCCACCCTGGCTACACCGTATTGCATTCCCACTAGCAGTGCAGAAGTTCCAATTTTTCCACATCCTTACCTACACTTGTTTTCTTTTGGGGTTTTTCAAATAATAGCCATCCTAATGCAGGTAAGATGGAATCTCATTGTGGTTTTCATTTGCATTTTTCTAATGATAAGTGATATGGAGCCTCTTTTCATGCTCTTATTAGTCTTTTGTATACCTTCTTTGGAGAAATGTCTATTCAGTTCCTCTGCTCATTTTTAAACTGGGTTTTTTTTAGTTGTTTTGTTGAGTTGTAATAGTTTATTATATATTTCTCATATTATTTCCTTGTCGCATATATGGTTTGTAAATTATTTCTCCTATTCTGTAGGTTGTCTTTTCACTTTCTTGAAAATGTTCTTTGCTGCACAAAAGTTTTTAATTTTGGTGAAGTCCAATTTATCTATTTTTTCTTTGTTGCCTGTGCTTTTAGTTTCTTATCCAAGAAATCATTGCCAAATCAAATGTCATGAAGCTTTCACTCTGTGTTTGGTTCTCAGATTTTTATAGTTTTAGCTCTCACATTTAGGTCTTTGATCCTTTGTGAGTTAATTTTTTGTATATGGTGTTAGATAAGAGTTCAACCTCATTCTTTTATATGGATATACAGTTTTCCCAATACCATTTGTTTTAAACACTGTCCTTTCTCCATTGAATGGTCTTCAGACCCTTGTCAAATATCATCTGACCATATTTGGAAGGATTTATTTCTAGGTTTTCTATTTCATCGGTCTATATGTCTGTCTTTATGCTAGTACCACACTGTTCTGATTTCTGTAGCTTTGCAGTAATTTCTGGAATCAGGAAGTGTGACTCGTCCAACTTCTTTTTCCAGACTGTTTTGGCTATTCAGAGTCTCTTGAAATTCCACATGAATTTTAGGATGGCTTTTTCTATTTCTGCTAAAAAAAGTCATTGAGATTTTAATAGCAATTGCACTGAATGTCATCACTTTGGGTAGTAGTGTCATCTTAACAATATTAAATATTTCAGTTCACAAACATGGAATGTGTTTCTATTTATTTTTGCCTTCTTTTACTGCTCTCAGCAGTGTTTTTGTAGTTTTTCAGTCTAAGTCTTTCACCTCCCTGGTTAATTTAATTCCTAATTGTTTATTCCTTTTGATGCTATTAGAAATAAAATTTTCTTAATTTCCATTTCAAATTGTTCATTGTTTGTGTATAGAAACACAACTGATTTTTACACATTGATTCAGTATCCTGCACTTTGCTGAGTTCCCTTATTAGCTCTAATAGTTTTTTGCGGGATCTTTAGGGTTTTCTATGTATCAGGTCATATAATCTGCAGAGATAATTTTACTTCTCCTTTCCAATTTGGATGACTTTTATTTCTTTTTCTTGACTAATTTTTGGCTAGGACTTCCAATACTATTTTGAATAGACGTGGCAAAAGCAGGCATTTGTGACTTGTTCCTGATCTTAGAGCAAAAACTGAAAGTCTTTCACCATCGACTATGATGGTAGCTGTGGTTTTTAATACATGACTTGTATTATGCTGACTTAGTTTCCTTCTATTCCTAGTTGGAGTGTTTTTATCACGAAAGAATGTTGAATTTTGTCAAATGCTTTTACTGATTCAATCTCCTTACTAACTAAAAGTCTATTCATATTTTCTATTTCCTTATGAGTCTATCTTTGTAGGTTTTATGTTTCATAGAATTTGTCCATTTATCTAGGTTATCCAACTTGCTGGCATACAATTATTCATAGTACTCTTTAAATTCTTATTTTTCTGTAGAGTTGGTAGTAATGTCTCCACTTTCATTCCTGATTTCAGTAATTTGAATCTTCTCTATTATTTTCTTAGTCAATCTGGTTATGGGTTTTTCAACCATTCATTTTTTGAAAAATCAACTTTTGGTTTTATTGATTTTCTCTATTGTTTTTCCATTCTCCATTTCATTTATTCTCCACTCTAACCTTTATTATTTCCTTCCTTCAGCAAGCTTTTGGATTAGTTTGTTCTTCTTTTCTAGTTCCTTAAGTTGTAAAGTTAGGTTGTTAATTTGAAATCTTTCTTATTTTTTAGTGTAAGCATTTAAAATTATAAATTTCTTGCACAAGAGTCTTAACTTCTCTGAGACTCAGCACTCAACTAAAAATTGCAATAAGAGTACAGTCAGCCCTCTATATCCGCAGTTCTGCATCCACACCTTCAACCAACTGAGGATGGAAAGGCCTACTATGGCTGCATCTACACTGACCGTGTGCAGACTTTTATTTCTTGTCATTATCCCCTAAACAATATGGTATAATAACTATTTACATAGCATTTACATTTTATGAGGTATTATAAATAATCTAGAGATGATTTAAAGTATACAGTTCATGTATGTAGGTTATATGCAAATACTATGTCATTTTATAAAAGGGATTTGAGCATCCACAGATTTTGGTATTCATGAGGGGTGAGTGGAGGGTGGAGTCCTGGAATCAGTCCCCCATGGATACTGAGGGATGACTGTACTTGTTTCATGGTATTGTTTTAAAGATTTAATGTAATATTCAATTAAACTTTTAGCAAAATGCCACACAAGAGGAAATGTTCCCTAAGTGTTAGCTGCTATTATTACTACTATTATCATTAGCCTCTATGAAATCAGGAAGTCCTAGAGTCAAGGACTACCTGATTCTAGATCCACCTTTTGCTAGAAATATGACTTTGGGTAACTTTCGTCACCACTGTAACCCTGAGTTTTTTCATCTGTAAAGTGGAAATAATGTCTATCTGGCAGCTTCATTACATGAGTCAAATGAGATATACGTAAATTATATAGCATAGAGCTTGGCACAGTACCTCATAATAATTACTAACATAAGCATTAATCATCAGTCTTGAGTTGACTGGTGAGGGCAACAGAAATAAAAAGAAGAAACAGATGCAAAAGGAAATATATATTGGGAGAGAAGAAAGGTATAAGACAAAAAATCACTGGGACATGGTTACCGACTGAATATAGGAGAGAAAAAAAAGGGAATTTAGTGCAAAGTTTCATGTCTGGTTTGTTAGTTTTCATCCCGAATCACAGACAAGATGGCATGAGACATACAAGCTATTTATTGGGTAAAATGCCTGTGAAGAAGAATAGAGCAGGAGTGGGAAGAGCCCAGGAGATTCCTCAGACCACAATGCAGACCACAATGCATGATCTCTGTGAAGGAGAAAGAGAAGGAAGGAAGCTTTAGCTTGCAGTGCATCTCCAAGAGAGCGTCTACATGGCTGATGGGTAGTCCTTAAGCTAAAGTCACCCATCAGAGGAAAAATCATTTCTCACAAAATTGGGATTGCTTTCATATCACTGTTGGGAAACTGTGGGAAGCATAGTCTCTGTGTGGTGAATGGTGATGGTGAATGGAGGTGGTGAATTCAGAGAGCACCAGCCCAGGCCATCTGTCAGTTAAGTCCCCATCACAAGAGACCTGAGAGGCACATACTCATGACTGCCACACCTGGTACACAGAGAAAGATGCAACCATGAAAAGGTGGGAAGTTATAACATACAAAAAGAGCCATCAGCCTTTCTCACATTTCCAGAGCCTTCAAAAATATCTGAGTTCAGAAAGATCAGGATGGAAGTGAGGCAAGTCTGACCACCAACTTAGAAATACAGTGAAAGAAAAACTTTGCAAGGACATAGTCAGCTAATCACCTCAAAGCAACCGTCCCACAGAAGACTGATTCCTTGAAGGTACAAGTAGAGACTAATCCATATTGAGAGTTGTTTCCCAGGGCACCCTCACTGTAAAAAATATCAGCTTCAGCCATTCTTCTCTTTTCTTTCCATGACAGATGACCAAACATCTGCTGGCCTCTCAGCTGGGGCTGTTGGCGGCATCGTGGTTGGAGTCTTGGCTGGGGTAGCTCTGATAGCAGCACTGGTGTACAGTCGGTGTAGCAGAAAGGCTGAAGAGTATGATGTCCATTGTTAGTGTTTCACTTTCTTCAAGGTGAACTGCCATGTTTAGGAGAGGGAAGGAGACTTCAACTCTGTCTCTGGGCCTGCATCTGCTCCTCCTCCCTCCTAAACGTCTGCCTCTCTGCACTAGTTCCTGCAGGGCTCTTCCTCCCTGGTCTTCATGCTTCCTCTACCCCACTGTCTGTTGGACATGGTTATTCCCAACCCTATCTAGTTTAGAGGGGGCAGATCAAACTATGTTCCTCTGCCCCCAGTCAGGGAAACCAAGGTCCAAGAAGGAAAACAAATGGGGAAATGAAAGGAGGGGCAGGAGAAACGGAGTCATGTGCTCTCTCAACCATAGCAGCAGGATGGATGGATAAGACAGGAAGAGAACCTAAGAAAAAGCAGAAACAACCAAAGGCATCTTGGGCAATAAATGAAGTGAGAAAAAAACAGCATCTGCCTATGAAAGGGGAAATGTGTCAGGGTAGAAGTAGGTTAGAGGAAGCTGAAAGAATGGACTCAAATGTGCACATCCAGCAAACAGGAAAGGAGTAAACACCAGAAGGAATCAAGGGTAGACTGAGGAAGGAGGCCCTGAGGGGAAAGGCAGTAACCACCATGGTATAGATGAACACAAGGAATTATCTGCTGACAGTGTCCTTCCTCATTCAAGGAGTAAAGCCCCTATGCTCAGGAATAGCAGTCACAATGTCTGATATTGATTTAGGGCAAGTGACCAGCACGATCTCACAGAGCACAAGCCCTCAGCCTCCAACCTCAGTAAGTAAAGCCACTCACCCAGTGACAGCTGGTGTGTTCTACCATGTGCCCTAAACTAGCAGGGAATCCTGGATCCCTACACCCCTCACTACCTTCTGAATTTTGAGGGGATCTTCACTTCACAACCTTAAGTTGGCATAGGTCCTCACACCCTTCCTAGCCACAAAAGATTCCCCTGAGACACAGCCCCAGCAGAGATGCTCACTCTGCCTAGGCCAGGCAGGCCTAAGATGGACATGCTTCCAGGAGCCATTTCCTCATCCTTCCTCCTTCTGCCTCCTGCCTCCTTCTGCCTAATGCCTCTTTGGATGCAGGCATTGTCCTTTGGTGAGACTTTCCCTGTCTTGGGGTGCTCTGGGTGCTGTGGCCCCCAATGTCCCTCCTTTCAACTAAAGCCTGTTGATGAAAAACACATCAAGGAAAAGATCAAGGCCTTGTGGCCTGGAAAAAAAATTCAGAAGTGCATTGAGGCCTCCTCTGGCTCTACTCCTCCCCCTCCTCTGGTATTAATGCCCTGGATCTATGTCACACTCTCTGAGGGGAGCTAATTCCTTAAGTGATCATAGGCCACCTCCCCACTCCACCTTCCCACCACCTGCCACCTCCTTCAGGGAGAAATCACAACATCTTAGGAACACCATCATTCTAAGGCCATAAGCCAGCTTTGCATTTCCATGGGTTGGCAACTCTTCTTTTGCTTCCCCAGGTCAGGGCCACTCTGACAATTCTCCTAACAAGGTTAGCACTGCCAATTTCACTTCTGTGCAGTTTCTCATGGAAATATCTCTGTATAGAATGGGTTATTCTTGAAGACACCAATGTGAGACCAGGTTTGGGTCAAATTTCCTCAATGTAGCAGCAAACAAAGGAATGTTGGTAATGACTCCCATGAGTCTACCTCATTACACACATGTGGACTTTAGAATTATCCCCACCCTGTGTTTGAATCCTGGCTGAGACTCTTAGTAGCTCTGTGACCTTGGACAAGTAGTTTAACCTTTCTGATCCTTGGCTTTGTCATCTCAGAATGGGCATGCTGCCTACTTCAAAGAGGAGGTGAAGGAATTCAATGACATACAGATGTACAGCACCCAGCACAGTGCCCAACACAAGGAAGGCCTCAGTCATTCTCCCTCCTCTATCTTCAGTCTGACTCTGTTCTTACTGTTGGAGGATAATTTCCATGCTAATGGATCTGATGTCTTAGTTCCTTTACCTTAATTTTACCAAATTTTTCTCATCTTTACTTTTCAATAATGTACACATACTAAAAAGTGCTTAAATCATAAGTATATTTTAACAATATATGAATTTTGACAAGTTGAACATACTCATGTAAGCAGCACCAAAATCAAGAAACAAAACATGTCATCCTCCCCTCAAAAATTCCTCCAATTACTTCCCTCCAAAGAGTAACCACTATCCTGCCTTCCAGTGCGCTAGATTAGTTTTGCCTATGTTCCTACATAAATGAAAGACACAGCATATCCTTATATTTGTCAGCTTCTTTCATTTAAACTTGTTTTGTGAGATTCATCCATATTGTTGTATGTATGTGTAGTGTGTTCATTCTCATAGCTGTAATCATTGTATTCCATTGTATGAATACCATAATCTTTCCCTCCAATGATCATTCACAGGATGTTAGCAAGCAGAAATAGTGGGTGATAAAAGCCATCCCCTAGCTAAAAGTCTCAAAGTGGTGATAGCATGTGGTACTGAATCACGCTACACCAGATGAAGGCCTGACCTATGAGATTCATTTAATTGACCGCTGCTCATGCCTTTCAGATGGATGTAGTTGCATATTCTTCCCTGAAATTCAACTCCCAGGAATCAAAGAAACAAACTTCAGCCTCCCCATCCCCATTAGCCATAGAAACAGTTTATTCAGAAGTTAAACAGAAGTACTGCAACCTGCCCTGTTCGCTTCACTGCTGACTTACTCCAAGCTTCTCATCCCCATCACTGGAAGGATCCCTTTACCCTCAAGGAAAAGAAGACGAAGCCTCTTCCCTGCCTCAACTTCCAAATGAGTCACCTCCAGGCTGCCCAGTCACAGCCCCTCCCTTCAGTGACAATACATGAAAAGGTACAGCCAGGAGTCTGTAGGAAACCCAACCTTCCCAGTCTTTGAAATTTGGCAAAGCAGACCTTGGGAAAGAGTTGCCAGAACCTTCCTCCCCTCCCCATCTCTGGACCTAGACTTGTTTTAAACCTGCCCATTCAGAGCACACTCACCTTCCCACCCCAGTCCTGTCTTATCCGAGTCTAACAATAATTTACCACAAACTTGAGAGATATGTCCTCATCCCCTGAAATGCATGTGCCTGAAAAGAACACAGAAAAAGTAAAAGTAAAAGTGTCTCCTGTCTCTCCAAAGTCCAGGGTAAACTCACCAGACACAGGAAAGCAAATATATAACCAATTCCAAACTGGAAATTTTTACACTTTTGTCCACTGTCAGGGTTGTCTACACGTAGCACCAGGGCCTAAGTACCTTGCTGCTTAGCTGGAATACCACATAACCCTTTGGCAAGCCTGTCTTCACAAACCAAATAGAAGCAACTAGGAAAATTATTTGCCAAGATACACAGGTGAGTCCTAGTGGAAAATGCAAAAAAAAAAAAAAAATGCACACATGTTTTAATCACTTTATGGGCTTTATTCAAGCAAATGCCCCCAGAAGGAGGGGTTACAACTTTAGGGAGGAGTCAGCTGTTAACAGAGACAACCTGCTGGGAATTTGGGAAAGGAATCAGAGAGCTACCCTTCAGAGACTGTTAAATGACTGTTAAAGAATGCACAATTTGGGGTGGTGGGTTTTTTCCTTTTCTCTGAGACATTCTGCCATTTAATTTTTCTACTTGTTTATTTATGTGAGAAGGGTTATTTTCCCTTAGCTTAGCTGTGTGAGCCAATCTGACTGCCTTAGAAGAAAGAAACCACCAAAACCCCTCAAGTCCCCTTGGCCAGGAGCTCCTCAAGGCTTTTATGTCAGGGGCTCCAAATAGCAAAGAAGCAGCCATTTTCCTCATTCATGGCTAGAAATGGCTCTAACTCAGTTTCCAGGCATCTCAGGCCAATCACCAGCCACCATTCTATCCCATGTATCTGGCTGTGCATGTTCTGTCTGTCTGTCCCACTCATTTTCTCAGGAAAACTTGGCCCCTGCTAAGGTACATTTGGTTCTTGAGAAGTGGGAGCACCTTCAAGGGAACACTATCACTCATGCCATTGGCATTGTTTACAACCTAGAAAGCTGGACTGGTGCTGATGGTCCTTAAGACACAGGGGAATATTATAACAGAGTCCTCGGCTTCTTGAAGAGCATCTGAAATTTGTTTTCCCTCATGGGATCTATGAGTCCCAATGTGTCTTAGGATAAAAGGAAGGGCAAGAGAAGGAGGGGCAAGTACACTTCCCACCTAGCGTTCTACTACACAGATGGAATCTCTTTAGGGCTGTTGAGGGAAAGGTTTTATTTGATACTGATTACTTGATCTCATGCTGTGCCTAAGAGGCCCCCTCAAAGAGGGTTAGTTGGGAGTTCTCTGTACTCAGGTACCTCTTTGAGAGTTTTCTAACCCTGACACACACTGTATAGACTTCTCCTTATCCATGCTACTCTGTGTTATTTAATTTTGCTTACCTAAGGCCACTTTGGAATTATTTGTAAATGTGCTCTATATTTATAATAAAAATTATTTATCAGACATCAACATGCTGCCTCACAGTTGATTCTGCTTTAGACAATGACTTCTTTATAGGCAGAAGCAAGAGAAACTGCTTGACTGGGCGTCAGAGTAACCCTATTTCTAAGTCTACAGATATTTGATCTAGTGATCAGAGAATTAGTTAAATTCATGTGCACACCTGCTAACAAAGTGAGTCTATCTAGAACCAACAGGCCACAGCTCCTAGAAGAAAATAGCTGTTTTCCTCCTAGAAAGAAGATGATTTCATGAGGAAGATTTCAACCAGCCTCTTTCTTAGGGACAAATAACCTTCCCACACAGGTGGCTCCAGTGAATCAAATGCAGCATTACAGCTTTCACACATGAGAGTCTCCACAGGTTCAGTCATATAAAAATTTTATAGTACCTTCTACCGGTCTCCAGTTCCTTCAGAGGGTCCAATCTCTTCTGACATGAATAGACTTCATTTATTAATTGCACTAAGCCTTAACCTATTATCTCATTTCCTTTACTTCCAAGCATTGAAACATATGTGCTGTCTTTCCCCTTCCTCATCACCTCATTTCCTCAGGGGCCTCTGCCGGAGTGCCTCCAGACCCAAGACTGCTAGAAGCAGCATAAAATCAGTATCTACCTCTTGGTCAAATTCAAAGGTATTTTCACAGTCCTCACATTGTTCACTTTTACAAGATCTAAGACCACAGACAACTTTTTCCTTCTTGGATGCTCTCCTCCTCCCATCCACAGCTGATGCACTGCACCCCCACACCAGATTTAGTTCTCAGACCCTGCTTGTCTCCCTCCATCACCCTCTTTCCACAGTCCAATGACCTCTCTGCAGCTGCCTTCTACATCTCTATCTTTAGCCTCTACTACTTCCCAGAACTCATGACACTCACATCAGAATACCTTCAGCCCTTGCTCTTTTGTTTCCCAGATTCAATGCATCATCAAAACACATTGATTCTTTTTCAAAATCTCTCAGTTGTGTTCTTCTCTCCATTCCCATAAACCTTAATAACCCAGGCCTCAACAACCCTGCTGTGAGAAGTACAGCTTGACTTCTTGTCTCTGTCTCTCTACTGAAATCTTGCTTGCATACTGCTGCCTCATTACCTTCCTAAAAACTGGTTCACTCTCCTACTTAAGAATCTATAGTGGCCTAACCCGGCCAACCAGATAGGTTCAAATTTATTCCTCTTTACTAACATTTCTTACTTTCTTTACCACTACTCTCTAGTATAATTCCTCCATTCTAATTAGATTTCTCTCCTTACCCATCCCTGCCCCTCCACCTCATATATATATATAATTCTTAGTGCCAATGACATGCCTGAAAACAAACACCAAACAAGGCAATGTTCTCCCTGTTCTCTCACAGAGGAGTTACCCACACCAGTCACCACAAGCAACAACTCTGACCCTGGGGAGGACAAGGACCCTGTAGCATTAACATGTGAACCTGAGACACAAAACACAACCTACCTGTGACTTAGAATCTTTTCCTGATGACCAGTTCCTGTGTTCATAAAATCCTGTTGAAGACCTGCTGTGCCTCAAGTCTCAGTGTTGGATTCCAAAAAAGATACAGAAATGAGAAAGGCAGGGTCAATATCCCAGGGAACATAAGGCCTAAGACAGGAGACGAGACATGAAAAATGATTACAATACAAAGATAGAAAGGGATAAATGCCACAAGAGAAATCCAATGGAAAATATGGCTACACATTAGAATGAGTGGGAAATTTTTATAAACAATTGATACTCAGGCCCCACCCACAGATCCTGATTTAATTGGCGTGGGGTAGAACTCAGGCAATGGCAATTTTTTAAGCTTCCCAGATACTTTTAACAGGTAGCCGGAATGGAGAATCTCTGCTATAATAGGTGTAACTTGAGCCTAAAAGCAGTCATTTTTAGCTAGGAGTATGAATCAGAATTACCTAAAAAATCTTTTCAACATACATAATAAGCCTATAAACCATTCCTGAAGAAGCTGATACAGTAGATCTGGAGTGAGATATGGGCTTGTATATTTTGCAAAACTCCCACATAATTCTCACATATATTTTATGTTAGGAAACACTGACCTGAAACAGGTAAGACTGAAAAACTGGGGAGTTGGAGAACATTCTATGAGATGGGCATGAGAGGAATATTTATTCTGCAAGGCCCAGAGAAGTACTCAAAAAAAAATTATTGGCAAATAGCTTAACTTTAAAATACCAAGTACTGTGAGGAAGGGAAACAACTGATATTCTTACATATTGCTGATGGAAATATAAAATGGCACAACCTCTCTGGAAAAGAGTTTGGCATTTTCATATAAAGTTAAATATACTTATACAGTGCAGCAATCCCACTCCTAGGAATTTGACCAAGAGAAATGAATACAGATATCCACACAAAGAGTAATATATGAATGTTTACAATAACATTATTCACAGTAGCCGAGAAGGGGAAACAACCCAAATATCACTTAACATGTGAATGGATAAACAGATTGTGGTATATCCATACAATGGAATACTAATTAGCAATAAAAAGGGCACAAACTTCTGCTAAAACAAGATAGATTAATCTCCAAAACACTACGCTGTGCAAAAGAAGTCAGACACAAAGGAGCACATATGATATGATGCCATTTAAATGAAGTTCAAGAATAGGCAATAGTAATTAACGGTGTTAGAACTCACCATAGGGGTGGACTTCACTACAAAGGTGCACAAGGGCACTTTTTGGGCTGATGGAAATGTTCTATATCTCAGTGCAGGTGGTGATTACATGTGCGGACACACTTGCCAAAACACAAATCATAAACTTAAGATCTGTATGCATTTCTATGTATTTAAATTTCATCTCTATTTGTAAAAATAAAATAAGCAAAAGAGCAGCTAGTTCAATCTATCAGGTACAAAATACCCATTTATTAGCTCAGAGGAAGAATATCTCAGGCACAAGCCCAGCCCAGTGGTACAAAGTCACGCAGATGGGCAGTGGCAGAGCTCCCGCACACTCTCCGGATGACTTACAAGAGGCCATGTTACCTGAGAGCACCTGTTCCAGAGCCAGACCACCTTCACTGGAGTTCCTGCTCCTGAATCCCCACTGTGACACTTCAGGCAAGCTATTTGTAATGTCTCTGGGCCTCAGATTCTTTACCTATAAAACACAGATTATAACAATATATGCATCATGGGCCATTGTCAGGAGTCAATGAGTTAATCCAGGTGTAAAACACCTAGAAGACAGTGGGTGAGCAATAAATGTTGGCTGTTAGAAGTGGCAGCAGTACCCCAGCCCACAATACCGCACATTTTGCAAATCTCATCTAATTCCTATTAGTCACTGAACTTGTCTTTGTCAGACTGCACACTTGTAAAGCAGGGACTGTGTCTTACTTATCTCTGTATCCCCAGAACCTAGCCTAAGGCCATTTCATAATAGGCACTGATCAGTCAACTCTTCTTTCAGGCAGCAGGGGAGAGACCGCCAGAAGCCTCTAACTCCCTCATGATTCTCCTATGGATTATACCCTGAATTCCCACAATATTTTGGCTTCTGTTAGCTTCCTTCTTTGTTTCCACCTCCTCTCTCACTCTGCTCCAGAGATGTGCATTCACTAATGGTCATCTCTGGCCCCGTCCCTGGCAGGTGTTCCAGTGCCTCCATTCTCTCTCCCCCCACAGCTATATTATCTAAACAGCCTCAGCATCACTTATTCTGAGATTAACAAAGAGTAAACGGAGGCTGAATTTCTAGAACATTGGCCTCATACTTGTGAAAGTAGAATCCTCTGGAAAAGAGAAAAGCAGATAAGATGGTAGCCAGAACATAAAGCCGTCAAAAAAAGCTGCACTTTTGAGGAATCTTGTAGACATATTTGTATAATTAGCTAGCATCTCACTGGGGTTGTGAGGGGTTCAGAAACTGCTGGGGAGGAGACGGAGGCATGATGGACAGGGAGCCCAGCTTTTTTTTAATGAACAATTATAAAGCAAAACTTTATTGGACCAGCACCCAGGTCAAGAAACAGAACTCCACCCTAGAAGACCACTGAGGCTCCTCCCAAGAGTGCTTCCTCCTTTTGGCCATCCTGACTTCTACAATGGTCATTTTCTTCAAGTTTTTTTTTTTTTTTTTTTGAATTTTGATTCTTTTTTTATTGCAGTAACAATGGTTTATAACATTATATAAAGTTCAGGTTTACATCGTTATATATTTCAATTTCTGCATAGATTACAACATGTTCACCACCCAAAGACTTCTACTTATATAGCAATCTATATTGAGATGATGCTCTCTTTAGTTTGACCTCTTCCTAAAAGCTCTACTCTTTTACTCTCCTCCTCCAACATTTTATGTTTTTGATATTATATTTAACTTCTTATTTTGTGTATGTATCCATTATCTTCTTATCATTGAAATAGGTAATTTTAGTACTTTTGTCTTTTGACCTTCATATTCTCTTCATAGGTGGTTGATCTGCTACCTTTACTGTATTTTTGCCTTTGCCAGTGATTTTATTGTCTTTTTTTTGGATAATTTCCTTGTTCCTATTTGTGGTCTTCTCTTGCCCACTTAAATAAGTCCCTTTATCATTTCTTGTAAAACTGGTTTCTTGATGATAAACTCTTTTAATTTTTGCTTGCCTGGGAAATTCTTTCTCTCTCCTTCCATTCTGAATGATAACCTCGTGGGGTAGAGAATTCTTGGCTGTAGGTTTTTTCCTTTTGGCACTTTAAATATATCATGCCACTCCCTTCTCCTTTAAGGTTTAGGCTGAGAAGTCAGGTGATAGGCTTATGGGACTTCCTTTCTATGTCACTTGTTGTCTTTCTCTTGTGGCATTTAGGATTCTCCATCTTTAATTTTGGACATTTTAATTATAATGTGTTTTGGTGTGGGCCTCTTTGGGTGTATCTTGTTTGGTGATCTCTCTGCTTCCTGTACTTGGATGTTTGTTTCCTTCTTTAGGTTAGGAAAGTTTTTGGTATCATTTCTTCAAATAGATTCTCTAAATC